GTAGCTAGATAGTCCTTATTTTAAGCTTTTAGCGGTATAGCTACGAAAACTATCGATTTAACTATATTATACCTAAAGAACGGGACCTATACGTACTATTCTATTAGGAACAACTATACTAATTATTAAGCAAGGCCTTCTATACGGCCTATTATACTAAGTCAATCGCACTAAGCCGATACCTACTAATTCCGCTATATCCGTATAATAGGGGCCTATAATATATTATTAGTATTACCCCTTATTATAATAGCCGGCTTATTACGAAGCAACAACAATCGCGGCGCCTCTAGCAGCGCTAGCAATAACAACACTAGTAGTATAGTTCCCGCTAAAGTGCCTACTAAAGTACCCGCTAAAGGGCCTACTAAAGAACCTATAGTTCTAGGTAATAATCTAGAATTGCCTATAGACGACATTCTTAGCAACATTATTAATCGACGATATAGCTAACTAGCCTTTAGCCCCCAACTAGTAGGGAGACTCTAAGAAGCTACCTAAAACAGGCTTACTACCCTACGTTAAGAACAGTAGCTAAAGGAAGACCTCCTCGAGCTCTATCGCCTTTAGGAAGACCCTACTACCGCTAAACTAATAGTAGGGCCTTCCTTACTAACTATTTAAAAGAAGGATACTAAACTCAAGGATTGCACCGTATTTAATAGCTCTAGTCGAAAGCAATATAACGACTATATCCGTAACTATAAGCTTAACTAGCGAAACGTACTAAGGGCTCTTCTAGACGACTACTCGTTAGTCGTCTATGCTATATAATACATTAATAGAGACCTAAAGCGTACCTAGGATAACTATTTGAATTCCCTCGATAATTAGACCGCTATTTAGTAGCAAACCTATAAAACTATTATGCTAGATACCCTTAGAAACCCTATACTAAGGCAATAATACGCTTAGGACCTGTATCTTTAAGCTAAACAAAAGACTAATTAATCGGCTCGCTTATTCGAGGCCTATTTAAAGACCCTCGAGGATAACCTTCCGGCTAAGACTAATTCTATATAGATCTCCGAGATACGCCTAATACTTAGGTAGGAACTTATCCTCGAGTTAGACCGCCGTCGTATATTTAAATAGGCTAACCTAATACGTATTTAATTTATAGTCGAAGTAGAAATAGCTAAACGAGCTATTTAACTCTAATAAAGACTAGAATCGAGGATCCGACTAACTAGTACTAACTGTAGCAACCGTAGAGCCCGCGGAGGAAACTAAGGTTCCTACTAAAACAATAATACTAACAATAGGAATAGTAACAACGACCGTAGAAGAAGCCGTAGCCGGCGGCTATACCGAGGAGGCCGCGATAGGGGCCGTAGAAGGGGCTCGTATCCCTATAATACTAACCGCTCGACTAATAATAGTAGCAATAGCTATAGTAATCCCCTAACCGGATTGAAGTGCTTTAACTATAATAGTACTAGCTATCTACTAGGCTAATACGATAAACCTAAGGATTAAGCCCGAATTAACCGTACTTCCGCTAAGTATAGGAAACACCTTTTAGCCGTTAACGCTACCCCTATCGGCTCTTTTAATTAGTCGAAAAAAGAATAAGCGCCGCACTAACCGTTAGCCTTATATAGCGTAAGACTATCGATATTATACTAGCTATTATACGTACCTATCTCGTATCGGACTCGCATAGTACTAGTTATAAAACTAAGGTTATACTAGACCTAGGAAATTCGGTTAGTACCCTTATTAACTATCGCCTAGCTAAGCAATTAGACCTCCGACAACTACCTAGGACTAATATACTAACCCTTGCTTAGTTTAATAACGCTCGGCACTTAACCTATAGGGCTTACTATATTCCTATAGTCCTAAGAGACGATCTCGGTAACGAGCGCTTGCTAGATTTCACTGCCTACGTAGTAGATATAGACAACCTTCTATCCGATATTGTTATTAGCAACCCTATTCTTAAGTACTATACTATAGTTATAGACTTAGGCAGTTAATAGTAGCGATTTAGGATCGCTAGGAGAGAGGACATTAAATACATTAACATTAGCGAGTGCCCTAATAATATTAGGGTCCTTTTTATCGGCAACCTAATACCTGCCTTAGCCGATCTAATAGTCGACCTATTAGGTAATAACGATAAGCCTGTACCCCCTAATAGTATAGACCCTAATTAGCTTGCTCGTATACTAGAACCTATTCGAGAAACCTATATTAATGTATTTAAACACTACCTAGCATCGACATTGCCTATATTTAAAGAGACGGATTATAAGATTAATATTATAGAGGGTAGAGAGGTCCCTTTTAGTCCCCTCTATAACCTTAGTAAACGAGAGCTTACTATATTGCGTAAGTACCTAGAGGAAAACCTAGCTAATAGCCGCATTCGGTATAGTAATAGCCCTGCTAGTGCTCCTATCCTGTTCGTACTAAAGAAGAATAGTAGCCTGCGCCTATATATCGATTATCGTAGGCTTAATTCTATTACTATTAAAGACCGCTGTCTACTTCCGCTTATTAATAAGACCCTCGATCGCCTTTCTAGCGCCTACTTCTATACTATACTAGACATTAAGGATGCGTACTATCGTATCTGTATTCGTAAGGGCGACGAATAGAAGATAGCCTTCCGTACCCGTTATAGCTATTTCGAGTACTTAGTTATACTATTTAGCCTAGCTAATACCCCTACAATATTCTAGTCCTATATTAATCGGGCCCTTTTAGGCCTATTAGACTACCTCTATATAGTTTACCTAGATAATATCCTAGTTTATATATACTCCCCTAATATTGCGGAGCACTAGGCTATAGTCCGTAAGGTACTCGATCGCTTGCGAGCCTATAGACTATATTGCAAGCCTTCTAAATACACCTTCGCCGCTAAGGAGGTAGCCTTCCTTAGCTTCCTCGTATTAACTAAGGATATTAAGGCTAATCCTAATCGGATTAAAACTATTACCGAATAGCCTATATCTACGTTAATTAAGGAACTGCAGTTATTCCTCGGCTTCGCTAATTTCTATCGTCGCTTTATTAAGGGCTATTTACGGTATATAATGCCCCTAACTAAGCTTACTAAAACTAAGGCCAACCCGTCTAGAGAGTTTAAATAGACTAATAAAATACAAGCCGCTTTTAATAGTTTAAAGAAACGCTTTACTAAAGTCCCCTTATTGTACTATTTTATACTAAGCAAGTAGATCCGTATTAAGACTAACGCTTTATAGTTCGCTATATCGGCTATTATATTATAGCAATTAGATAAGGACAATTATTAGTACCTAATTGCCTTCTTTTTACGGAAGATAATCGATATAGAGCGTCGATACGAGACCTACGAGTAAGAGCTCTTAGTAATCGTAGAAGCCTTTAAGTACTAGCGCTACTATCTCGATAGTGCTTAGTATACAATTTAGGTCTATACGGACTATAACAACCTCCGTAGAATTACGAAGGTTACTAGGGTTATAGGTCGATAGGCTAGATAGGCCGTCTACCTCGCCGGGTTCGATTTTAATATATTATATCGGCTAGGCGTAAGTAACCCTACTAATAGCCTATCGAGGCGACCTAATTACGATAGCGAGACTTAGTATATTAATTTATTGTTTCCAACCCTATAGTATAAGATTGCTATAGCCTGTATTATTAATAAGTAAGCGTAGGATAAGCGGACTTCCGGACCCCGCGGCGGTAATAAATACTATAGCGGAGTTGTCGTTCTTCTAGTACGCGTTAGAAAGGACGTAGATCGCTCGAGCTATAACGACTCGATTAAAGATATTGCTATCTATAGCGATAGCACTATAGAAGAGGTTATAGTAGTTCCGGCTACTAGTGCTATTAGATATATATAATACGTACCTCGTTCGATAGCAAGGGTACTATTAAATAACCTTACAAATAGGGATAGTTAATCGTTTATAGATAAGCTATTGCGTACTTAGTAGAGGGACGCCTTTGCTATTAAACGTATTAATAGGCTTGTAAGTAGGCGAACGACTCGATCTAGTAAGAGTAATTAGTCGATCGACGACAAAGGTTACTTAAAGTTTAAGGGCAGATACTATGTCCCTACTAAACAATCGATTAGACAAGAACTTTTAAAGCGACACTATAATAGTAAGCTTGCTAGTTACTATAGTATAGAGAGGTCGTATAAGCTACTATCGCGTATATACTACTAGCCGAATAGTAAATAGTATATAAAAGAATACGTATAGACCTATATAGTATACTAGCGAGTTAAAGCACTAAAGCACTTGCTATTTAGCGAGTTGTCTTTACTTCCTGTTCCTAGGAAGCTATTCGTAGAGCTTATAATAGATTTTATTATAGGCCTTCCTCCTACTAAGCGTAGGGGCAATAAGGACGTATACGATACTATCCTTGTTATAGTAGATCGATTTACTAAAGGCGCTCGATATATCCCGGCGCGCAAAGATTAGACTGCTATTAATATAGTAGAGGCGCTATAGACTAGTATCTTCTATACCTATTAGAGAACCCCTAAGGGGATAGTATCTAATCGTAGATCGATACTAATATCGCACTACTAGAGCGAAATATACCTATAGCTAAGACTAAAGCATCGGCTATTAATAGCCTTCTATCTATAGACTAACGGTTAAATAGAGAGGCAGAATGCTACCTTATAGTAGTACCTACGCAGCTATATTAATAAGAACCCCGAGGATTAGGTTAACCTCCTATAGCCTATAGAATTCGTATATAACAATAGTGTATATTTATTAACTAAGATCTTACCCTATATAGCTATAATAGGCTAGAACGCTACTATACTATAAGACCTACTATCGCTCGAGGCCGAGCGTAAGAAAAGGGAAGCGCGTTAAGTACTAGAAACGCTAGCGGTAATAGAACGTATCTAGAAGATACGAGAAATCTATACTAAGATAGCTAAGAAGCTAACAAGGGCTTAAGAGTACTAAAAGACCTACTACGATAAGCGCTATATACCGATAACCTTTAAACAAGGTAATATAGTTATGCTTAGTACGAAGAACCTCCGCATCCGCAAATACCTATTACCTAATAGCAAAACAAGGCCTAAGCTCGTACTAAGATATATTAGCCTATTCCGTATCCGAGAAGTTAAAGGCTCCTCTATATAGGCCTACTAGTTGTAGCTTCCCCCTTATTATACTATCTACGATACCTTCTGTATATCCCTCCTTAAACTATACTATTAGCGCGAAGGCGATAAAGCGCTTACTAAGTTAGAAGAACTCTTAGCCGATAGTAAAGAGCTATAGTCTATAGAGCGTATACTAAAGTATCGGACTAGGCAAGGTAAGAAGGAGTACCTCCTAAGATAGTAAGGCTATTCGCCTAAATAGGACTCGTAGGAGGCTAAAGACTCTTTTAAGGATATAACCGAGTTGTTAGACGAGTATTAGACTAGTGTAAAGAACAAGAAGAAGGCTAAGGGCCTATAGTGTCGCTAGAACCGCTAGAGAGACCTAGGAACAATACTACCCCCGGGGTGCTATTAGCTAACTATATAGAGGCAAGCAATTGTTAGTAACAAAGGATAATAAAACTACACTACTATAGAATCTACCTCTTTACTAGCGCACCCTATAAGACCCTTCTCTTAGCGCCCCCTTTTATTCCTTTATTCTAGTAAGGCCTCGAGGCCTAAGCGGTCGGCAAGGACGGCGCGCGTACGCGTAAATAGTAATAATAATAATAACGACGGCGTCGCGCTTATACTTAAGGACGGCGCGGCCGGCGCGGCTATATTAGTAACGGTATTGCCGAGTTATTGCTAGTTAAAGAAGGAAATTAGAAGCAAGGTAAAGTTAGCGCTAAGACGGCTAGCGCCGCTATTGTCAACATTACTTGCTATTATTACTATACCTATAGACATAACCTTACCTATACTACGAGCCCGAAGCGCTATACTAACTAAGTTAAAAGATTAAGTATATTAAGGGTTTAGTTAAAACTTTAACCGAGTTAAAAGATTAAGCGACTAATAGACTAACTAAGGGCAAAAATATAGAGCTAAGCTAGCCGGGGTCGATCTTGCAGATAATAGGTTACTCCTCGATCTTTCCGATTCTTTAAGCGAGGCGAACCTTAACTATTATACTTATAATAGCCTTTACTTATAGAAACTAGACGAACTGCGTTTTTGAAAAAATAAGATTAATTAACAATTAAAGGCTACTAAACCTAACTAATTAGGGCTAGTAAAACTACGATAGTAAATAATAGTCCTCGTAATAATAAGAATAATAACCCTCGGAAGCGGACAAACCCTCGGAAGCGGACATTTCTAGGTCTTTTAGAGTAGACGCAAAGAACTCAGAACGACATTACTTAGAACGGAGGCAGTGCTATAATACCTCGTACGCCTACCTATTATAGTAGGGAAGGCGCGCTCGTATTATAATTAGTCGATAGTCCTTAATTCTTATAGCTATATATTACTTTATTATATATAGGGATAGCGTAGTTAGAGTTAAACATTGTGTTATATTAGAGGTAAGGTTTAATATAGTTATATAATTAGGTAGTTAAGTGTTTAATTTAGCGCGGGCTAAGTAGCTTATTAGACTCGCTAAGTTAGTAGCAGAGGTCGGGAGTAGAATATAGAAGGCTACGAGGGCGCGGCCTTTAGAAGGGAAGCGTATATTAGGACTAAAGAGGTTATACGTAATTAGTATATAACTAGGCTCGAGTAAAGCTAGGGTCTTAATACCTTAGATAGGGCTTAGCGCTTAGTAATAGGCTAACTCTCCTACCTTCCTCCCTCTTCTCCTAGATCCTTATCGAATACTACTTATACCTACTACTACCCTATCTACCTACTAATATAACCCTTCTTACAGTTGTTAAGCTTAGTATTTAGAAGAAGGAAGAAGGTAAACGTACGGACCGCCTTTACGTGCTTGCCGATATAAAAGGTAATACTATATCTATAACGGTAGTACTATAGGCTAATATACCGACGAATTAGCTACGCTAGGCCTAGGCAACTTGCTCCTCGTTACCGAGTATCTCTAGAGAAAAGCTAATACTACCCCGGGGATATTATTAGTCTCGCTAGCCTTACTACTACAGATTCCTACTAGGGACTCGAACTAACTAGTTATATTTCGAGCGCGCGAGAGTCTACGAAGGCTAAAGGTTAATAAAGGCGCGTAATCGCTACTAGCAATTAGCTAGATCGATTGTTAAACTTTAGCCTGCCCTAATAATAAAGAAGTCTCGTATATAGCTTTACTTTTATATATAGCCGTTATCCGTTTGCTTTACTAGCGCGGTATATACGGACTACGTTACCTTCGTACCCTATTTAAAGCGAGCTTCCTAAGCTCTTTCTTCTACTCGATTACTAACTAACTCGCTACCGCCTAACTACCCCCCCCTCTATCTAAATCCTTTAATTATTATTATTAAGCAACGAACACGTTTTGTAAACCTGTTTCTAAACCGCTTCGGTCGACTATGTCTTCTAGCGCCCTAAATCCGCTAGGCGCTAGTAGTAGCGGCGACCTACCTACCCCTATTAACCTAAGCCTAGCCGCCCTAGTCCCGATCGAAGCCCTATCCGATAGCGCCTTAGCTACTATAACTAGTCTCGAGCACTACTTCTAGATCGTTACCGCCCTTAAAGACCCTTAAGAGAAGATCTAGAACGCCTATATCCTACTACGCGTTATTAATAGGAATATTAAGAAGGCTGCTATCTTAGTCGCGTACGGTATAAATAACTTGCGTTAGTCTATCGGTAAGCGCATCTTTAAGCGCGACGTTCTTAACGACATAGATATCTAATAAGCCTTTCCTATCGTTTATAGCCTCGAGACGGCCGGTACCTAGATTCGCTTACGCTTTAAGACCCTCGATTAGGCCTTCGAATATTAGGGAGGCCCGAGCAGTCTTCCTAAGAGCCTTATTAACTTCGCCTATAGTAGATAAGAGCGTACTAAGCAGGTCTCTTCGTTCGTTAATAAGTATAAAGTCCGTCGCTAAGGCGCTAAGTACCTTTTCTATACTATAATCTATTATATATCTACCGCTAGTAAGAAGGTAGGCAAGCAGTTACTTAACTTATCCTTTACGCTTAACGACTTTACGATAGCCTACTAGAAGCAGTATAACGATACGATTATTAAGGTAGATCTCGACGTATAGACTACTAAGGATCTACTAAAAGAAAAGGGCTATCGTATTAATAGTATAGGCTTTATTATTAAAGGTTAAGAGGCTCCTATCGTTAATGTTCTTAAACGTAAGGTTCTTCGCCTAGAAATAGAGGCCGATATAGCTACTAGTCTTACGCTCGCTATAGAGATATAGGCTTAAGACCGTCGCTCGACCCGCAACTATAAGGTCCTTTAGGAAGTTAAAGACGAGCGCGCTAAGGCCGAAGTAGCGCGTTAGAAGGCACTACACGCTCGCTAGGCCCTTCGTAAGGCTACTAAGAAGTCTAGTAACGCGCCTTCTAGTACTAACTATAGTACTAACTATAGTAACTCGGATATTAATATACTAGATATACTACTAGAAGATATCTCCTCCGAAGGCTCCTTTAGCGAGCGTAGGGATAGAGGCCTCTCGCCGATTCTACTAACTAAGAATATCTATAGTTCTTGCAAGGGCGACTCTATTATATACCTTATTACTAAGATCGATATAGTTACTAAGGCCGATATAGGCAAAGCTCCTACCGCCCTATCTATCTATTAATAGCTCGACGACCTTAGTAAGCTAGGTAAAGAGCGGTTTACTATATATACTAACTATATTAAGAAGGCCGCTAAGGTCTATAGTCTCTACGCTAGTACTAAGTCGAGTGTTCTCGTCGGCCGCCTATTAAAAATTAGACGCGAGATTGCTAATTAGGATGCCTTTACTGCCCTTAAGACTAATTATACTAACTAGTTTCCTAGACGTCCTACTGCCGCCCCGACCTCCTTAGGACTCTACGTATTTAACTCTACTAGTACTATTACTCGCGATCTTACGCTAACTAATCGCTAGTATAAGATAGTCGCTAGTATTCTCGGCTAAGGCACCTCCTTCGACTGCTTCCGTTAGACTAGTAATGCTATCTTCCTTCGAGTCTTCGGTTAGATATAATCGCCTCGTAGAGCGTACCTTCCTCTTATTATTAACCTAATATAGGAGGAGTTTCGTATATACTTTTAGTATATACGGAAGCTGCCTTAGTCTAAGGAGGAAGGCCGTAATGCCCTTTAAACCTATAGAGTAAGTAACTAAATCGTCCGTTAGTATCCTGCCTTATAGCTCTTAGCCGTTACCCTTCGACCTAATTACGTATATAAGCTTATCTCCGTTCCTAAGCCTACTAAGTACTTTAAGGTAGGTAAAGGCGGTTATAAGAACTATCCTACTAAGAAGACTTCTCGTCTTAGGTAAGATATAATTAAGCTCGTAGCTAGTAAGGGTGCTAGCTATCTACGTATTAAGGTTTCTCTTATATCTAAAGATAAGACCGCCTATTTAATAGTTATCGAGGGTATATACGAACTAGAGGTCTTCGACAACTAGGTTAAGAAACTTATAGGCCGTAACCTAGTTCTACTAAGTAGGATTAGTAAGCTTACTAAAAAGCACCTTACTACCGACGACCTCGACTATATATTCGATAGCTAGCCTAACGAAGGCGAGGCAGCTTAGTAGATCCTTAACCCTCTAAAGGAATGCGAAGTCTCTATTTAGATGCTATACCTTCTATATAGTAATCTAAAGGCTAAGAGCGACCGTATATTAATCGACCTAGGCTACTCTTACGTTATCGACGGTACTAAGATTAAGGGCTACGATAACTTAACCGTCTCTAAGGTTGCTAAGGCGTACCGCAATCTAACTACCTTTCTAGGTTCTAATACCTTCGTGCTATTCGCCTTCCCTACGGCTATCTTAGTTAAAGGCCTTAGTTGCATTTCCGATACCCTAGTCGGCAGAATTCCTTAGTTAAGTTACGTTGTTTAGAACGAAGTTAAATAGATCCTCTAGTTTAGTAAGGAGGAGCTTAAGGAGTATCTACGCGTATAGGGAGAGGCTATATAGGATAAGGCTGCTAACCTCCTCGTTAATTAAGCTTACTTCGAGGCCGAGTACTTTAGTACTAATAGCTTTAATACCTACGGAGGAGTTTAGGAGAACCGCCTAGCTAATAAGGTTATTACTAGTAAGGATTATAGCGTATTAAAGCAATAGTAAGTTGGTATAGTAAATTAGTTGCTTAGGAAGTTGTTTCTATATATTAATAGAATCTAGGAATAATACTACCCCGAGGGTATTATTGCGGAGTCTCTAGAAAATAGCCTTAGCTAAGATGCCTAAGGCTATATAACTGTTTAATTGTTTTTTAGCGCGCGATGTAAAGCGTATCTAGTTAGATACGAAGAAAGGGAGGGATATTAGCTAGTAACCGGCCCTATATACCTAGGCTAAGTTTTAAGCCTATATAAGAGGCCTCCTTCTATATTATAGATAGGGCATTAACCTCGTATAGTATATTATTTACGTTACACTTCTATAATGCCTATATTGTAGGGCTCTAATTATTAGCCTAAGCGACTGTCTTGTTATCCTATTATACTAAATATAGCTGCCTATATTACTATAGGTTATATTACCCTCGGTTGCCTATACTATTGCTACTAGTAGTAGTAGTAGTATTAGTTTCCGTCCTTTAGTAGGTTAGCGAGATATTCGCGTATACTCGGTAGGTTTACCTTATATAACCGACTAATCTTATTACTATAATAACAAGTAAGGCAATTAGTAAGTAGTATAGCTATAAGATATATCGCTCTAATCGGTATTAACTCGACTCGGAGCCTATAGAAGTACTTTATTAACTCGAAGTTATTAATAACCTTAGTAAACCCCTATTCGACTAACTAGCGTATAGTACTTATCTCCTTTGCCGCTATAGCCTTACTAGTATTACGAAACTCGCCGTTCGTCGTCTTCTAGCTTCCTATAATACTATTAAAGATATTATAGGCCTAATTACTATATAAGAATACCCGCTCTTCGAAGGATCGTTATAGCTACCCTAGCGGCTCGAAATAGGACTTCTAGATATCGTTAAAGCCGGACTCGAGTACTAAAGCCGTATCGCTATAAGATCTAGGCGCTAGACCGTAGATTAATATTATACTATCCGGTAGGATAATGCCTTAATATTTAAGTCTATAGAAGTGCTTATAGCTATTATAGAACAGCCGCTAGTTATAAGTCGGTTTATAGCACTTCCGTAGTATACTATCGATATAACCGAAGACGTACTTTATATCGATTAATCTAGTAATAGTAACGGCTATTCGCTATAGATAGGCTTTACTTAACCTATTAAAGTCCTATACTAACCTGTCCTTCTAACGCCTTACTATTTAAGTATAGCCGGTATTAAATATACGACTAATCTAGCTATTACTACGACTAAAGATCTAGCTTAAGTTGCGTTAATAACCTAGATTACTAAGCCTTCTATATATAATATATAATACTATTACTAGATTATAACGTATACGGTATAGCAACTTAATCGACTTAATATCTAGCAACTCGGCTAATTCTATTACTTATTACTTACTAAAGCGGAAGTTGCCCTCGAAGTTAGTATTAGGGTACGTTTCTAGTAACTATTACTTATCTCTTAGATACTCGCGTAGCTCCTTATATAGCCTATTACTACGAGCCTATCTATACTAGTATTTACGCTTAGTCTTACCCTCTTAGCGAATAGCTAGATCTAGTAGATTGTCGACCTTAGAAGCTAAAATAGCTATAGTTATTACTATTATTCTACTATAAATAGCGATTATATCTTTATTAAGTTTACTATTAGTTAAGAGGCCGTCCGAGTCGTATTCCACTATAGTATACTATAGTAATAGCAATCCTATCTGCCTGCTAATTATAGTAAGGTCTAAGACCCCGGGCGCGTCTTAGTACCTCCGTTGCTTACTAAGCAGTCGATCGAGAAACGCTACTAAATTGCCTACGCAACCTCTTATTAACCGTTAGTCTAGTTATTTACTTTCCGCCGCTAAAACGGCGCTATTCGCGGCTTCTTGCATATACTAAGCGGCTAGAAACCTACTGCGCAAGGTGCCTATTTCCTGCTTTTCTTACCCCTAGCTATGCATGGATTATTTCACTGGGGCAATCGCGGCGGTGTCCGTTTGTAGCAAAGCTCATGAAAGTGATAGATCACAACGTGTCGGCTAGGATGGAGTGTCAGCTGCATGCTGGCATGATGCTGCACATTTTTCAAATTGCTGGAGAGAAAAGCACAGATTGCAGATGCAGGACAAGGTTTACCGGTCGGTATCGTCGCCGGTCGGACGCGTTCGCGCACGCGTCTTTCTCACACTTCCACCGTTCCTCTGAACGGTGGTGTGCGTGGTGTCGTCGGAAGCAATAATGGAGGTGCGCACATGCGAATGCTTCAGCAGATACACCTTCGTCTCAGACCACACTCACCACGACTTGACATGGCTCGACCATCGAATCTGGCGAGGCAGCCTCCTGCAAGCACACCGCAGCTATGATGGACACCTGCCCTGGAGCGAGCTACTGAACCAGCACATCGGCATCCAAGGCAGCATCCAGGTCCTCGCCAGCTGGGCGAACCCACCTCGAGACGTCTACTGTGCTGGTAGCGACCATTACAACGGCAATCAGGCTGGCCTTGCATCTCCGCTCCGAGTGCAACTCCAGCGAGTACCGTACCGTGGAGACCGTATTGATCGCGGCGTAAGTATGGCGGAGAAAGTAGCATACAGGCTTGGGCTGACGAGTCAAGATCTGGACCTGCAAATTCCGCCTCGGCGACGAAGACGTCGTCACTATTCTCAGAACGGTCGGCTCCGGCGAGAAGCTCGAATTCTGGGGCCCTTCTGGCTATGTGCCTGGCCTTGGTCTCGCACGAGAGAGGATCCTCAGAGTAGCCCATCCACACTTGACAGCTCGGCACTTTCCGGCAAGCCCGTCGGTCGCTCCAAAGGCTGCCAGCATCCCTCCGTCGAAATCGGTGCGCAATGAGTCTCAAATGGCACCATCTGTCGCTCCCGTTGCGCACGCTCAACGCAAGAGCATTGTGATTGACCTTGGCGACAGCTCGAGTGACGACGAAGGAGACGATGCACCCTCGAGTTCTGCCAGCTCTCCACTCTCGTCAGTGGCAACGTTTGAGCATACCGATTTGACCATTCCTGATCCGCAGCCTGAGAACAGCCGTCTGACTTCGAGTGAAATTGACCAGGAGTCTAGGCTGGTCTCAATCCGGCGAGGACCGCGCTGCCCATATTGCGACTATGGCCGAAGAAAAGCTTCTCCGGCGCACCTTGCAACCGATATGGCGCGACATGTCGAGGCTGCAGAGAAGCTACGAGCGCTTGGGAAGATGCCACAATTCTGTGACGCATGCGAAATGTCATTCTGCACACCAACAGCATTGGCCAAGCATCTTTGCATGCCGAACACAGCTGATCAACGACTGAGGTGTCAATACTGTAGCTATCAAGCGACACAATCTTCCGACTTGGAGAAGCATAAAAGCGCTTCCGCAGATCTTCGAAGAACTGGTCGCCTACCCGAGCGCTGCGAGATCTGCGGAAAAACTTACTGCAGTGGGCGCGATTTTGCTTTCCACCTCTGCGATGTCGAAGGCGTCATTGTTAGCAGTAGCGCCGTGTGCGCCGACCAAGCTGACAACGAGTCGGAGGCTCAGGACGTACATATCGACCGGGGCACCGATGGGTATTATCATTGTCGGAATTGTGAGTACATCAGCAAAGAGAGGGCCAATGTCGCGCGGCACATGGAGCGAGGCGAGAAAACCCGCCGATCTGGTCAGTCAACAAGGAGCTGCATTAGTTGCAGGAAGTCGTACTGCACTGATGGCGCCCTTATACATCACCGCTGTGAAAGACAAGATGGGAAAGAATTGGCGGACGAGCCGGGAACTCAAGCATTCGAAGATCGTATGATTGAGGCAGAGATGGCCGCTGACGCTACTTGGCCAGAGCTGACTAAGGAGGACGATGATAATGCCATCATTAGGCAAGATGCTGCTGGAGCTTACTGTTGCACTGATTGTGACTACAAGGCGCCCCGGCCGAGCATCGTTCGGCGCCATATGGAATTGGCTCGAAAGGCGTTTCGTGCTGGTCACCAAGGTGTACGCTGTAACAGCTGTGACAGCTTCTACTGTACGGCAACTACCCTCTCTCAACACAAATGTGAATTCCGACATGAGGCAAATCCTTCAACGAGAGCAGAGCCGCTGGACATGGCCTTGATGAGTAATGCCGACATCGCTTTTGCGCGGGACGCCGATGGGTACCATTGCTGTCCGAAGTGTGACTATAAAGGACGATGGTCTAGCAATGTTCAGCGACATCTGGAATGGACGGCGAAGGCATGTGGTCCCCAACCACTCTCACACTGTGGCGACTGTAGCAAATCGTTTTGCACTCAAATAACGCTGGCTCGACACCATTGCGAAGGTAGACCTGGATTAGGTTCCGATGCCGAGCCGGATATGACAGATTTGATTGAGGACGGTTCGAGCGATCAAGATTTGGTGGAACAGCATTGTTGTCCAGATTGTGACTATGTTGGACTCCAACGTCATAAGGTACAGCGTCACATGGAGGCTGCAAAGAGGGCTCGTAGGGCTGGCCAGCGTCGTGGAGAATGTCATGATTGTGGCAACATGTACTGCACTGAGACAGCAGCGCGTTATCACCGCTGCAGACCTGGAAGCGACGAAAACACATCAAGAGTAGTGGAGGTCGAAGGCGGCGATGAGCAATGCACTAGCGATATTGCAGAAAAGGCATATGAAGGGCGATACGGGTGCCAGTACTGCGACTTCAGCATCAACGACATCGAGTTTGCCACCAGACATCAAGAGTTGGCGCAGAAGCTTCGTGAAGCAGGAGTTACCCCCGAACTTTGCAGAGTTTGTGACAAGAAATACTGTGGCCGCGACACACTGAGGCTGCACAGATGCATGCCGGGCTTCTCACAGCAGCTTCCGGGTAGGAAGAGAAGGGCGAGCCCCATTCGTCGAGAAGGCCTTCGAAATAAGCGCCTCGTTCTTGAGTACGAAGAATCGCAGACCCTAAACTCACGGCCCGTGAGAGCAGACAAATCGGAAAAGAGCGACTTGGTCTTCACGTCCACGGATAGCCATTTCGATTACGGACCGAGTGTGCTCAATATGGTTGAAGGACTATTCGAGAAACAAATCATTTTGAGGCCAGGTGAAAGCACTCTGCAACATGGCCCACTTGTCGACAGCCTTCAACAAATTTACGCCCAGAGAGACTCGCTCAAGATGAGGGCGCTCCACATTCCCCAGGGCCACGTCTTCAAGGGTCGTTGGCTTCTGGGGGTTGCAGCGGCATTGATACATATGACCGGTGAGAAGTTGCCGGAGGACGAGGCTTGTGCAAGATGTCGAGAAGGCCGTGGTCTGTATGCCTCTTGTGTGCAGCACAAAGATGTAGATCGGGGTTCTTGTTCGAATTGTGTCCAGGTCGGCCATCTACATCAGTGCTCATTGCGAAAGATACAAGGTGAGATGCTCGTCTTCACACTTAATCAGAAACAGAAGCTGACCAGCATAGTCTCTCGTGTGGAGCCCGCGCAATCTGCTCGACAGTCAGACCGCAAGGCTTCGAACACAGATCTGGCTCCAGATTCCGAAGTAGCACAACGAGCGCCACATGCGGTTGTGCATCCCAATGCCGCGCCGGCAATGTCGACAATGAACGACGTTGTCGAGCTAACGCCAGCCGAGCAGAGCAGACTCACACTCGCCTTGTCGATGCGTAGCGACGAATCGAACAACGTCAGAATGCCGTTCGAGGACTGCGAAACTCTCTCTGGCTTGCTAAATGAGATTGTTGACGGACCTTACCACGGCTTAGTGGACTCCAAGGAGGCCATTCGTGCGCTCTGGATCTCTGCAAGCGATGAGGCTGAGGCTTCCAAGCTGTATCTGAGGCCCTCGAAGCAGTCGTCTGCGGAGTCCTATCGACGATTTCTAGGTCGTGAGGTCAAGCAACGATTGCGGCAGGATAGTGGCACTTGTGTTATTTCCATTGTTGTGGAGTTCTGATCCGCGAACCGCAAACGCTGCTGCGCTAGCGGGCTTGTCACCTGCAGGGTCTCGAAGTGAAGCATACGACCCGCATGTCCTTCGCTTTCAAGGCTCCACACTCGACTTACTTGAAGATTTTCAAACACACGTCCGGATGTCAGACTTGTTCAACGTCAAGGCCCATCACTTAACGCAAAGGTTCCGCTGCGCGCCATAGCTGCCTGCCGCCTTCCTCGAAATCCAGTTCCACCGCGGCGCCGCTGTTAGACTGCAAATTACCAACTTCAGATCCGCCTCGACTCTGTAGGTTGCAGCACCATTTGCACTTTGGAATACTCGGGGCGAAAAACCGTCGCCACTACTTGGCGCCCTTCACTTCTATCGAATATCCGACCGAGTTTTATAGTCTCTTATTGCTTCTTGCATCGCTGCCCGCCCCGATATGGCGTCCAACAACCAATCAGTCGACAGATTCACTGCACTTCCTTTGGAAATGCTGCGGAATATTGCAGGCTATCTTGACCTCTGGAACCGACTGAAGTTGCGAACAGTCTTCCCAAAGGCGCAGGAAGAAATTGTCGTTGACCTAATCGGCGATGCGCTGAAGACGGTACACGTGTCACCGAACAGCCTCTCCCTAGCGAACTTCGACAAAATCACCATGACCCGCTTCTTTCGGACGCGCATCGAGAATATAACATATCTGCCCATGGTCTTCTGCGCAAAGGGATACAAAGGTAGGCGGGACAACCAGATACGCAGCCTTGAGGACTTTCGCAAGAGACACCCTGCTCTTAGTCGGTCGGAGTCGCAAAGAAGCTTCGAAATCTACCAAGATCTTGTGCACGAATATGAAGACAATGACTTCGACAGCCTGAAACAACTACAAACCGCTGAAAAAGAGACATCGCTTCGAAAGCAACTCACAAAGGCTATGAAAAGACTACCAAATCTGAGCTCCGTATCGATCTCAACATGTGCTCAGGCTCAAGGAATCAACGGGAAGTTGGTCAAAGAATTGAGCCTTTGGCTGCGCGAGGATCCGCCAGATCGCCAGACCTCGCATAATCTGATGTCGGCAGCTTTCACCTCGTTTGGCGAGCGGTGGTACATGGCATTTGTCTTCATCATTCTGGATGTCTTACATACGATCAAGCCACTGTCGAATTTAGCAATTGGTGATAGCATGAAAGGCCAGCTTATTCGTGACCCCAAATTCCAGGATGCCTTCGAGATCGGCCTTTTGGAGCAGTCTCTAGCCCAAGTCACTCGCTTGACAATCAGTTGCGCGCACGGCTACAACCGCGACCGAAAGGTCACAGCTGAACGGTGGTACGCCATCGCAGCACACTCCAAGAAATTGCAAGAGCTCACCGTCTACGCCGACGACTCTGATGATGATTATTATAATGACTGGCTTAATGTCGGCGATGGTGTACGAGCTGTGGATGGTTTCCTTAGCCACGGAGACTACACTCAGCTCAAGAAGCTTCGAATCGAAGGAAGTCAATGGACTAGTGGAGTTGACGTGAAGCTATTTGAGCAATTCCTCTTCCTACACCGTCACGTCATCAAAGAAATCGAACTCGAGAGCATACTGCTGGTGGACCGCCCGCAGAAGGGCTCTGCTTTGACGGAAAATCACGCCTACAACAACCTGCGCGACTTCCTGTTGGACACCAATTGGCTCAAAGTCATTACAAGGTTCGAGATGAAGCTCTCTAGGCACGATCCAAGTGCTCAGCATGTGAACTACGAGGACTGTCTCAACTGCCGGAAGCTCCCACAGCTAGCGAAGGATCTGAACGTGCCTCTCAAGAAGGACGTGTGGGACTTCGGCGAGGTGGTGATGCGCAACAACGCAAGAAATGGCTAGAAAATGGCGCTTGGAGACTAGAATGGCGATGGAGAAGTGGGAGACAGCAGAGGCTGCAAGTACGGATATCAAACCCCACGGAAGGAATCATGAATGAGCGATACAGTAGCATACACGATTCGACGGCGATCCTTTCCTTTGGTCCAGCGGATCGGTCGGAAGCGCGCACGAAGGATGGATCGATCTTTGCTACGCAAGCGGAGCGCAAAGGGCAAAATGCCAGCATTGATTTCATCCATGCTAAGACTCAGACTTCGACACAAGCATACCTTGACGCTCGGGTATGTGATTTCAGACATTAAGCAAGAGAATGAACCGACCGCGGTTATCGAATTCTCGCGTTCCTTCCGAGTTTAGTATCCCTCTATACAGCTCCTTTAGTGAGCCTATTATCGTGTAATAATTCACAAGCATTAATTAGACTCGCGCAAGGTCAAGCTTAGCTTTATATCTACAATATGCTATGCCCTATCGGATATCCCTACTCGTTAAGGTCCTTGCCTACCTAGCTTCTCTAGTATACTATAAGTAACCTCTAATGCGATTATATCTATATACAAGCAACTAACGATTGTACTAGCGCGCGCCTTATATTACCGTGCCGGAGTAACTATACCTACCCTACGTATATCGCGCGATTCGCGTCTCCTAGTAATTTGTTAGTAAAGCCGAATTAAATGCTATTCTAGCTATACTTCTCGTACTTCTCGCTCTAGTAGTAACGCTTAGGGTTAAGAAGGAGGCATTTCTCGAGCCTGCCGTCGATTTAATACTAATATAGTAACTAAACAATGCCTCCCCGCTATAAACCTAACGCGTCTCGTAAAGCTAAAGAGGCCGTAGAGTCTATTAGGACTAAAGAGGTTATACGTGATTAGTATATAACCGGGCTCGAGTGAAGCTAGGGTCTTAATGCCTTAGGCAGGGCTTAGCGCTTAGCAATAGGCTAACTTGCCTACCTTCCTCCCTCCCCTCTTAGCTCCTTATCGAATACTACTCGTACCTACTACTACCCTATCTACCTACTAATATACCCTTCTTATAGAGTATTCGATCTACCCTTTAAGGGTAGTAGCTAGATAGTTCTTATTTCAAGCTTTTAGCGGTATAGCTACGAACAAGACTAATCTAACTATATTACGCCCGAAGAACGGGACCTATACGTACTACTCTATCGAAACAACCGTACTAATTATTAAGCAAGGCCTTCTATACGGCCTATTATACTAAGTTAAGTATACTAAGCCGATATCTACTAATTCCGCTATATCCGCATCTTAGGGGCTAATAATATATTATTAGTGTCGCCCCTTATAATAGCTAGTTTATTACGAAACAATAACCGTACTGCCGCTAGTAGCGCTAGCAACGATAACGCTAGTAGCACAGTGCCTAAAGTGCCTACTAAAGCACCTACTAAAGTGCCTCCTACTAAAGAGCCTACTACTAGGCCTACCGAAGAACCTGTAATTCTAGGTAACGACCTAGAGTTGCCTATTAACGACATTCTTAACAACATTACTAATCGACGATATAGCTAACTAGCCTTTAGCCCTCAACTATTAGGGAGACTTTAAGAAGCTACTTAAAACAGGCTTACTACCCTACGTTAAGAACAATAGCTAAAGGATAATCTCCTCGAGCTCCGTCGCCTTTAGGAAGCCCCGACAACTAAACTAATAGCGGGACCTTCTTTACTACCTATCTAAAAGAAGGACGCCAAACTCAAGGACTACACTATGTTTAATAGCTCTAGTCGAAAGTAGTATAACGACTACATTCGTAACTATAAACTCAACTAGCGCAATGTACTAAGAGCGCTACTAGACGACTATTCCTTAGTCGTATACGCTATGCAGTATATTAATAGCGACCTAAAGCGCATGTAGGATAACTGTTTCGACTCCCTCGACGACTAGACCGCTGTTTAGTAGCAGACCTACAAAACCATTATACTAGACACCCTTAGAAACCCTATACTAAGGCAACAATATGCTTAGGACCTATATCTTCGAGCTAAGTAGAAGACTAATTAATCGGCTCGCTTATTCGAGGCCTATTTAAAGACCCTCGAGGATAACCTCCCGGCTAAGACTAATTCTATATAGATCTCCGAGATACGCCTAAAACTTAGATAGGAGCTTATCCTCGAATTGGACCGTCGCCGTGTATTCGAACAAGCTAATCTAATACGTATTTAATTCATAGTCGAGGTAGAAACAGCCGAACGGGCTGTTTAGCTCTAATAACGACTAGAATTAAGGATCCGACTAGCTAGTACTAACCGTAGCAACCGTAGTAGCCGCGGAGGAAACTAAGGTTCCTACTATAATAACAATGCTAACAATAGGAATAGTAACGACCGTAGAAGAGGCCGTAGCCGACGGCTATATAGAGGAGGCCGCGATAGGGGCCGTAGAAGGGGCTCGTATCCTTATAACGCTAACCGCTTAACTAACAACAATAGCTACGGCAGTCTACTAACTAGATTAAAGTGCTTCAATTGTGACAGCACTAGCTATCTACTAGGCTAATGCGACAAACCTAAGGACTAGGCCCGAATTAACCGTACTTCCGCCGAGTATAGGAAACATCTTTTAGCCGCTAATACTACCCTAGTCGGCTCTTTTAATTAGTCGAAAAAAGAGTAAGCGCCGTACTAACTGTTAGCCTTATACGGCGTAAGACTATCGATATTGTGCTAGCTATAACACGCTCCTACCTTATATAGGATACGAAGGGTACTAACTACTAAACTAAGGTTATGCTAGATCTAGGAAATTCAGTTAGCGCCCTTATTAACTATCGCTTAGCTAAGCAATTAGACCTCCGACAATCGCCTAGGACTAATATGCTAGTCCTTGCTTAGTTTAATAACGCTCGGCACTTAACCTATAGGGCCTACTATGTTCCTATAGTTCTAAAAGACGACCTCGGAAATAAACGCCTACTAAACTTTACTACCTACGCGGTAGACATAGACAGCCTTCTATCCGACATTATTATTAGCAACCCTATTCTTAAGTACTATGCTATAGTTATAGACTTAGGTAGTTAACAATAGCGATTTAGAATCGCTAGGAAAGAGGACATTAAATACATTAATATTAGCGAGTGCCCTAACGATATTAGGGTCCTATTTATTAGCAACCTAACACCTGCCTTAGCGGATCCGATAGCTAACCTTCTCGGCGGAGATAACGATAAACCTGTGCCCCCTAATAGCATAGACCCTAATTAGCTTGCTTGTATACTAGAGCCTATTCGAGAGACCTATATTAATGTATTTAAACACTACCTAGCATCGACATTGCCTATGTTTAAAGAGACGGATTATAAGATTAATATTATAGAGAGCAAAGAGGTTCCTTTTAGACCCCTCTACAACCTTAGTAAACGAGAGCTTGCTATATTGCGTAAGTACCTAGAGGAAAACCTAGCTAATAGCCGGATACGGTATAGTAACAGCCCTGCTAGTGCCCCTATCCTGTTCGTACTAAAGAAGGATAGTAGCCTGCGTCTCTATATCGATTATCGTAGGCTTAATGCTGTTACTATTAAAGATCGCTGTCTACTTCCTCTTATTAATAAGACCCTCGATCGCCTTTCTAGTACCTACTACTATACTATATTAGACATTAAGGACGCCTATTACCGCATTTGTATTCGTAAGGGCGATAAATAGAAGACAGCCTTTCGCACTCGCTATAGCTATTTCGAGTACTTAGTTATACTATTTGGGCTAGCTAATGCCCCTACTATATTCTAGTCCTATATTAATCGGGCCCTATTAGGCCTATTAGATTACCTCTATATAGTTTACCTAGATAACATCCTAGTTTATATACACTTACCTAACATTACAGAACACTAGGCTATAGTACGAAAGGTCCTCGACCGCCTACGGGCCTATAGCCTGTATTACAAGCCTTCTAAATACACCTTTGCTACTAAGGAGGTGTCCTTCCTTAGCTTCCTCGTATTAACTAAGGGTGTTAAGGCTAATCCTAATCGGATTAAAACTATTACTAAATGGCCTGTTCCTACGTTAATTAAGGAGCTATAGTCGTTCCTCGGCTTCGCTAACTTCTACCGTCGGTTTATTAAGAGCTATTTACGGCATGTAATGCCCCTAACTAAGCTTACTAAAACCAAGGCTAACCCAACCAGAGAGTTCAAATAGACTAATAGAGCACAAGCCGCTTTTAACGGCCTAAAGTAACGCTTTACTAATGTCCCCTTATTGCACTATTTCGTACTAAGCAAGCAGATCCGAATTGAGACTAACGCTTTACAGTTCGCTATATTAGCTATTATATTATAACAGGCTAATAACACCTATTAGTACCCGATTGCCTTCTTTTTACGAAAGATAATCGATATAGAGCGTCGCTACGAGACCTACGAGTAAGAGCTCCTAGCTATTATCGAGGCCTTTAAGCATTAGAGGCACTATCTCGATAGTACATAGCACACTATTTAGGTCTATATAGACTATAACAACCTCCGTAGCATTACTAAGGTTACTAGGGTTATAGGTCGATAGGCTAGATAGGCCGTCTACCTCGCTAGGTTTGATTTTAATATATTATATCGGCTAGGCGTAAGCAACCCTACTAATAGCCTATCGAGGCGACCTAATTACGATAGCGAGACCTAACACATTAATTCTTTATTTCTAACCCTGCAGCATAAGATTGCTATAGCCCGTATTGTTAATAAGTAAGCGTAGGATAAGCGGACTTCCGGACCCCGCGGCGGCAACAAATACTATAGCGGAGTTGTCGTTCTTCTAGTACGCGTTAGAAAGGACGTAGATCGCTCGAGCTATAATAACTCGATTAAAGACATTGCTATCTATAGTAATAGCCTATATAGCGATAGCACTATAGAAGAGGTTGTAGTAGTTCTAGCTACTAGTACTATTAGATGCATATAATGCGTACCTCGTTTAATAGCGAGGGTGCTGTTAAATAACCTTACAAATAGGGATAGTTAATCGTTTATAGATAAGCTATTGCGTGCTTAGCAGAGGGACGCCTTTGCTGTCGAGCGTATTAATAGGCTTGTAAGTAGACGGGCGACTCGATCTAGTAAGAGTAATAGTTAGTCGATCGACGACAAAGGTTACTTAAAGTTCAAGGGCAGATACTATATCCCCGCTAAGCAATCGATTAGATAAGAGCTTTTAAAGAGGCACTATAATAGTAAGCTCGCTAGTTACTATAGTATAGAGAGGTCGTACGAGTTACTATCGCGCATATACTACTAGCTAAATAGTAAGCGGCATATAAAGGAGTAT